TTAAATTTACTATGATATAGCTCTAAGATAGATTACTACATTGCTATAAAATTGACATGGATTGACATGGAAAAATGTTCACAACATATTTATGAATGAAAATTATAGATTAAAAAAACAATATAAAATGATCTCAGCTTTTTGCTTTTCTAAAAACAAAGTGTGTGTGAATTCCATTGAAAATAATCAAGTAATCATGCCAAATGTCCACCTTGATTACAGCTAGGTGATAGAATTTATTATAATTTTTATTTATTGATTATTCTTGTTTATATATATTTCCAATTTTCTCACAATGAACATGCATTGCTTTCTTAAGGAAAAATAAATGTTATTTTGAATACTGGTTAAAGGCAGTAAAAACAATACAAGAATAGCTCAAGATTATAATATAATAAGTGGCCTTCACATTACAACAGAGGATCACAATAACTAAAATGTTGAAGGAGAAGCCTGATGCTATCATGTTACAGGAAATAGCCTGAAAACTGGTACTGAATTATAATTGATTTCACATCCATTTATAGCCACAGAGGACATAAAACAAGAGGAGATATAATAGCAGCTACTCAAATTTTCCATTTTATATCATGGGCTTTATATAATGCCTATTGGCAACTCTGTTAGCATCAACTGACGAACAAACTACTATTAACTTAGGTTCCTATTATGCTTTGAGAAACAAAAGACCATTTATATCTAAAGACTTGGAAAACTGGAGATGAGCAAGGGACATTTGGAGATCTTAGTGTAATTAATGTAAAGATGAGTAAATCCGTTCAATCTGAAAAGGCCAAGAAATCATACAGTTCAGCCTCAGGGTCATGTGTAAACAGTCCAATTCACACAAATCTGGAGACTGGAAAACTACCCATAAAAGGTTTGGGGGTTTTATTTATAAAGCCATACAAGCCACTCAAGACTGAATTGTGTTTTAAATTTGTGTTTGGCAAAGTTTGATTACATCAGCTGAAATGGGAACCAAAATAAAGTCTTAGCATACTCAGTTGGTAAGAACCTCTCAAAATACAAAGGGAAAGTATTCGTTTAAAGGTTTGCCATATGACAAAAAGGAGCAGTGTGCTTACTGCATGTGTTTACCTAAACACTCACAAGACATTACATGAGAGACATTTTATTGCCAAGTGCTACAGGAAGTTATCCATGTCATCCATTCTAAACACCAAAGCAGGAGGGTTGAAACAATGTGGTGGATGCTGAAGAGCTGGTGCTCATGAGTGGTCTTTCTAATATTTTCTAAGTTCTCTATAATATCATTATATTCATATTACAATTTAAATTTATTACTTTTAAAACCATTCAAATGATCGTGCTTCACATTTGATTATTCAACTTTGAGAGCATGGCACAATGTGCTTCTTTAATAGAAAAAAATTCACACCCTTTGAAGGAGTCTGCTCACTCAGTAGAGTCAGGCTAAAGTTAATTTACATAATTTTTCACTTACATAGATTTACATAAAATCTAACTTTCTAGCAAGGCACTCATATAAGATGTTCTTTTCAGTCCTCACTTTGGTCCACAACTGAGCCCATAGGTGTTTATCCTCTGGGGCTCTTGCTTTAGGGACTATCAACTCTGGTCATCCAGTCTCTAAGATGACCTTACTCTCCTTTCTCTCCCATAGGAAGTCAGCCTTCAATTCCTAAGAGAGTCTACCTCTAATTGTTTCAGTCTCCCATTGCCACTCTCTCTATCCCACAACCTCTGCCTGATTTCAGATTCTTACTGGTTTTCCCCTGGGCTGGGTAAGAATGTACCCAGCTACCTTATATTTCAAATCCTTACCCTATAATCATCACCCTCAAAGCCAGGGTAATGATCTTTCTCCATGTATCAAGTGAATTAAATATTTAAGTGATTAAAGCAATAAAAATACTAAAATAATTTTAATTAATAGTTTTATAGCTTTAGGATAGGAGAAACTTTTTTTAACTTTTAAATTTTTTTATTTTAAAATTGTGGGGTACAATTCAGGGTTAGGTATACAAATATTCATTGTGCAGGTACCCTCCTTTCCCCAGACAGATTTCGACTACTGTCAATACCACCTCCCCCTAGGAGAAACTTTCTAGAAGAAGATAAGAAATCTATAAATGCAGAGAGAGATGTAGTTGTTCATGTAAAAATTTTAAGTGATTGACTAAAGACCTCATAAACAGAGCCAAAAAAGTCAAAGTCATTATAAAGTCAAAGAAAAAAAAAACAGACAAGATATGTGTCATATAAGAAAAATGGTTAGTAATCTCAATATTCAAAAGGACCTCTGCAAAAATACAAGAAAAATGACAATTAAAAAGTTGACAAAGGATATTAAAAAGATCTTCAACCTCATTAATAGGGTGACACAAATTAAAATAAAGAGATAGTGAATATTCTACCCTTGAATTAGTAAAATACAGTAAGACTGGTAACTCCAATGGTAGCAAGAAAGGCAGGAAATTAGCTCTTTTATTCACTGCTAATGGAGAGATGAACTGATACAACTTTTTAAAAAGTAGATTGCAATTTGGTTCAGCGAAATGTCATTGATCTAGCAATACCAATTTTGGAAAGTGATCTTAGAAAAATCAAAGCTCTTGAGTGTAAAGATATGTGTAAATCAATGCTTACTACAACACTATTTATAGTTATAATCTGGCAATAATCTGAAAGTCTATGAATAGAAAATAATTAAATTAAATGTAGTATATCCATTCCCTGGAACATTAACCAGAGAGTGTAAAGAATGAGTTAAACTTAGTTTCACTGATACAGAGGGATGCTCATGATACATAGTTAAGAGAAAAAAAATGAGTGGTATGGATATCACAAACATTATATACAATAAAGTCTATATTTATGGGTATGTGGATATTTTATATAATATGTTAATGGAAATATATCAAATGTTAATATTGAATATTTCAAGAGAGCAGTTTAGAATTTGTCAAGAGAATATTATGAACATTTTCTTCCCACTACTTGGCATTTTTTGATTTTTAAAATAGATATGCATCACCTCTAGGCAGCTTAAACAAAATCTAGGCTGATTTCTTATTTGAATTTGGTAATATAAAAGCCAATATTTCTCTCTTTTCATTCTGACTAGTTTAGCAAAAGCAATAAGAAAAATGAGAAGCAAAAATATAAATTTCACTGTAGCTAAACTAGGCGACAATAAAAAACTATGGAGACAAAATATAAATGAAAATTCACCTAAAATAGAGTGAATAGAGTATGAGGAAGTTCAAATAAAAGGTTGCAGAGAGAGCTTCCTGCAGCTGCAGACCTCAACAAGCACCAGCAAAACTACCTTTCTCAAAGGTAAGGGACACCACCTGAGGTACCTACTCTTGTTTGGAATAGGAGGGACTGTCCAGTTGGTTCAATGAGCTTGCATAGACCCAGGTTGTTTGTTTCTGAAAAGAAACAGCAATATACAAGGAATCGCACATAGAGATAGAATGCTTACTACAAGCACTCTTCCTTTTGTGTGGTAGAGGAAAAGATAGACTTTACATTAGCCAGTCCTTCACCCCCCAAAAAATGCAAACAAAAAATGTTCCTTTCTCCACTGGCTTTGGTGAAATAAATACCAATTATTTAAAAAAATCATCCAACCCCTATGAATCTTCCACAGACACCTATTCATGAAAAAATTACTCTTTTGATGATGAGTAATAAAAATGAAAGAACTCAGGAGCGATACAATTAAGTTTTAAATGTCTTTAAAAATGTTTGCTCACTATTTCCATTGCTCCACTCAAAATGATATTCACCTGCTCACTTATGAGCAAGAAAGGCAAGTAACAGATGTTTATCATTTGGGGGCATAAAATGGAACAACGGAAAGAGTGACCAAATATTTTTTAAGAAACTTAAAAACTGGATATAATCACATCTATGAATGAAGAAACAAGGGCAAATATAAAGGAAAAAATAATCATGAGTTGGTAGACTTGGAAAGTTGGGAAAAAGTACTACCATTGCAGAAATTAAGCCAAAAAGAAATACAAGGAAGCTGCAAAATTACTGAAACAAATTAAGATGCACAGTGGGGGAGGGGTGAAGAAACAAGAGGAAAGAGTCTTAAAAAAATGAAAAAAAGATTTCTTTCATTGTAAAGAATATTACAAATATGGAGGAAAAACAAAAGAGACCTCAAAAAGAAAAAAATGAAAATACTGGAATAAATAAGCAATTCTTGAAAATTTTGAGACTATATTAGGTCTCCAGGAAAACTGATTTTTTAAAATGTATACTAACAATGAGCAACATAACCATACCTCACACTTCACACCAGGTTAATTTCAAAACTGGATCAATAACTTAAAGATTAAAAAATGAAACCATAATGTAATAAAAGAAAACACGAGAGGTATTTTAATAATCTTAGAGTGGGAAAAGCAATTCTCAATATGACACAAAATTCAGAAGCCATTAAAAGCATTGGATAAATGAAACATAAAATTTTAAATGTCTGGATAATAAAAAACATAATAAGCAAAGACAGAAAAAAAATTGCATCTCATATCAAAGACAAAAGGATGATTTCCCCCAATATAAGAACTTCATCAACCCAATTTAAAAAAAAAAAAAGCAAAAACTCAATGTAAAAATGGACAGAGAAAAATAGCAAAGGAAATAGAGTTCACAAAAAGAATTATAAGTGGCTCATAAATCTATCAAATATATCAAAAAAGAAGTGAAAGTTAAAGGACACTTTTCTCACCTATTGGATTTGCAAACATCAAAAATCTTAGTATCACATTGTGCTAAGTCTGGAAGGAAACAGGTGCTCTCATAGATAGTTGCAAGAAATGTAAATTTAAACCATCTCTCTAGAGGGCAATTTGCCAATATCTATGAATATGAGAGAGAGAGAGAAATTTCCTTTGACTTAGAAGTTTCACCTCTAGGAATTTATTCTACAAAGACAATACACTGAAAAACAGTCTGGGGTCTGGGGCCATGTGGCAGTGAGACCGGCCAGGAAGATGCCAGTGGCGGAGATGGTAGAAAGTGCCTTCAATTTCAAAAAGTTGCCGGATCAGTGTGAGAACCAGGAACTTGAGGTTACTGAGGAATTGCTATACCACCAGTGTATGGTCAGCTTCTAGCTTTATATTTGCTCCATAATGACATGAATAATGCAAGATATCTTTGGAAAAGAATACCACCTGCTATAAAATCTGCAAATTCTGAGCTTGGGGGAAATTGGTCAGTAGGACAAAGAATCTGGCGAGAGCTTTCCCTGGGATCTATACAACCATCAATGTTCACCAGTGGCCTGAGATGGTCCAGCCAAACAATCAGGTAAGCACTTAGAGATGGGACAAGGAGACGAGCATTCATCCTGGTCTCCCAAGCATGCATCTCAATAGTAGCCAATGACTTTGCAGCCTTCATTGGACTTCCTGTAGAAGTCGTGAAAGGTATATTAGAACAAGGATGGCAGGGTGACTCCACCACAAGAATAGTTCTGCCCAGAAAGCCAGCTGCAGGAGCCCTGGATGCTTCCTTTAATAAGTTTGCACCAGTTTCTCCAATCCCGAATGAACAGCAGTTAGCCAGACTGACCAATTACGTGACTTTCCTTGAAAACTAATTTATCACCCTGAGTTCAAGATCCACCTTCAGAATTCTGTACACTGACAAATTTAGAAATGCAAAATTTTTATTTTCAATTTATTGGATGGATTAAGCACCTCAGCATTCCTTACTATGTGATAAAAGACATATATAATATAAAATATATTATATATGTTTTGTCCTAAAACATTATGCTGAACAATTGTTGAAACAATGCTCATTTTGTAATATTTAATGATCTGGATGGAGACCATCAGTGTTATGTGGTTAGTTTATATTTTCTACTGACTCATAAAATAAGATCTCCTGTTTCATGAAGAATGGTGGTTGTCAACTCTCTTTTCCCTGCCCTAGCACAGGCCACACTCTTATCTGTACCACTGGTTGATAGTTGTAGTGATTCATTGGAGTTTGAGGAGAACTGTCCCCAGGGGCAATATCTGAATTGCTGGAGATTGTGATTCACCTTCTTTGTAGAATATGCTCTCTTTTCTCCCCACGTCCTGAGAGCTACTAATGCCAAATACAGAAATATAGCTGAGGAACAAATAAACCATTCTTCTGGTAAACCAGTTTGTTAACTTTAAATTTCTTTCCAACAGTGTGAGCCCACCCAATGCTGGCAGTGGAGGGCTTGCAATGAAAATGGGACTTATTTAAGACATTCACAAGAAGATTAAGTTGTACTGTCTCCTTTCAGAAGAAGGTAAACTTAAGTATAGAATACATTATATGAGGAATGGAGCTAGTAAGTAATATACTTTGTATAACCATGGTTGCCTATATTTATCTCTTGGTTCAAGTTCTGTCCTTTGGAGAAATATTGAACAGATCTTTCATTCTATGTGTGACAGCCCTCTGAGTATTTCAAGTTGTTTGTTGTGTTTTCAGGTTAAAACACCCTTTCCCCTTAGTTCATTTATTTTGCATTTGCTCAATAAATATTTAACTGAATTCTTAAAAAAAAAAGACAATACATTTATATGTATTTTAAAAAATTATGATATAGCTATACAATGGAAAAACATGTAGCCATTGAGGAAAAAAAGAGAGTGAAGAAACTCTTTATGAATTAATATGAAAAGTTCTTTGAGAACTTTTGTATTTAAAAGGTTAAGTACAAAAAGCAAGGTGGAGAAAAGTAGATATAATATGCTATCATTTGTATGAAATGGAAACAACAAAATACATGTTTCTAATGTGTATATGTGTACACACACTCGTAGTTTGAGTTCAAAGGCAGTCAGTTGGCTGAATTTATTCTTGTTTATGGGAGGTCATTGTTTTCTATCAAGGCCTTCAACTGATTGGATGAGGTCCACCCACTTTGTGGAGAGTAATCTATTTTACTCAAAGTCCACTCATTTAAATGTTAATCTCATCCAAAAAAAATACCCAAATAATGTTTAGTCAAATATTTGGACAATGTGGCCCAGCCAAGACGACACATAAAATTAATCATCACAGTTGTGTTTTCTTCCTAGGGTTTATAATTGTATGCAACAGGGAGAAGTACGGAGAAACAAGACTATGTCATCTTGTCTGGATTGTGATCTCTCCCTTTCATTTTTTAAGGGTAGTTTTGTGAATTTGGGAATTTTATGTTTTGTTTTTCCTTTTTTAGCACTTTAAGGATAGCATTCCACTGTCTTCCAGATGTTCTATTAGGTTCTGGTCAGATATCAGCTACAATCAATTGTCTGCCTTATGTTCTCCAGTTGCTTTGTAAGATTTAGCTTTGATTTTCAGTTTCAATATAATGTGATTATAGTTTGTTTTTTGTCTTGCATTTTTGTCCTGTTTTGTAGAAAGTTTATAGAGAAAGCATCTTGAATCTGTAGACTTCATAAACTTCTAACAGTTTTGGAAATTCCTCAGGCATTTTCTCTTCAAATAAAACCCATTTTTTCCCTCTTCTTTTTCTTTCTGTGACTACAGTCACATACTTTAGTTAGAACTTCTTACTGTATCTTCTAGTCTTATATTCTCTCTTATGATTTTACATTCTTTTGTTTTCTCATACTTCATTTTAGATATTTTCTGACCAAGATTGGAAATTATTTAATTGATAATTTTTTCTTCATCTATGTTCAATTTATCATTAAACCCACTTTTAAGTTCTTATATTTACTTACTAAATTTAAGTTTACATGTCTCAATTCTAGATTTTCTGTTTCATTCTTTTTTAGTTGTTCTGGTTTCTCTGCCTAATTTTTTTTTCTCCAAAAAATTTTTATTTTAGATTCTGGGGTAATTGTGCGTGTTTGTTACATGGACATATTGCGCAGTGGTGTGGATTTTGTCTCAGGTGGCCCATTCCTCAGATAGTGAACATTCTACCCAATAGGTAATTTCTTAACCCTGATCTCCCTTTCCACCTGTGAGAAGTGAACTCACCTGTTCAAAATCAAAGGATGGACAGAGAAACATGGAGTGCAGCAGAAGCGGGACTTTAATGACAGTCTTGCAAGATCGGGTGTCTGGTGGGCAGGCACACCCAGAGCAATTACAACAAGCAATTTATCTTCTAATATGCAAATCCCTTCCCCAGTTCCTCATTGATCAGATTACAGGGTCGTAATCTCACCCAGATATCGCCTAAGTAGTTTTAGTCCACTTAAGGTTAAAATAAGTACTTGTTGCTATTTGATTGGGCTTCAGCTTCCTTATTTTTAAGTTTCATTTTCCCTAAGATGACATTATCATCATGCCTCCCTTTCTAACGAGGTTTTGGTCACATCTGTATGCTAGTATATGCTCTTGGTCATGTTAGCAGACTTCTATTTTATGAAAATAAATCATCTATTGTCTTTCACACCACCTCCCTCTTATTGGTATCCCAGGTGTCTTATTTTCATCTTTGTGGCTATTTAGCTCCCACATACAAGTAAGAGCATGTGGTGTCTCAGTCAGTTCACTTAGGATGATAATCTCCATCCATCTTGTTGCAAAGGACATGATTTCATCATTTTTATGGCTGTGTAGTATTTCCTGGTGTATATATACCATTTTTCTTTATTCTTTACATTCTTTTGAGTCAATTGTTGGTGAGCACTTAGGTTGGGCCCATGGTTTTGCTATTATGGATAGTGCTGCAATGAACATATGAGTACAAGTATGTTTTTCATGTACTGATTCCTTTTTCTTTGAGTAGATCCCTAGAAGTAAGATTGTGAGGTCAAATGGTAATTCAATTTTAGTTCTTTGTGAAATTTCTATACTGTTTTCTGTAAAAGTTGATCTAGTTTAAAGTCCCATCAACAGTAGATGAGCATTTCCCTTTCTCTGCAACTGTACCAACAGCTGTTGTGTTTTTTTTTGACTAATTATAGTCATTCTGACTGTGTGAAGTGATACCTCATTGTGGTTTTAATTTGTATTTATCTGATGATTAATGGCATTGAGCATTTTTTCATATGTTTGTTAGCCACTTGTGTGTCTTCTTTTGAGAAGTATCTACTCATGTCCTTTGTCCGTTTTTTAATGGAGTTACTTGGTTTTTTTCATGTTGAGTTATTTGAGCTCCTTGTAGATTCTGGATATTAGCCCTTTGTCTGACATGTAATTTGCAAATATTTTCTCCCATTCAATAGGTTTTCTGTTCACTCTGTTGATTATTTCTTTTGCTGTGCAGAAGCTTCTTAGTTTAATTAAGTCCCATTTGAATATTTCTGTTTTCATTGCAATTGCTTTTAGGGTCTTCATCATAAATTCTTTGCCTAGGCCAATGTCCAGAAGAGTGTTTCTTAGGTTTTCTTCAGGAATTTTTTTAATATATAGTTTCAGGTCTTATATTTAAGTCTTTAACACATCTTGAGTTAATTTTTTATATGATGAGCAATAGAAGTCCAGTTTCATTCTTCTGTATACGGTTAACCAATTTCCCCAGAACTATTTATTGAATAGAGTGTCCTTTCCCCATTGTTTTTGTCAGCTTTGTTGAAGATCAGTTGGTTGTAGGTATGTTGTTTTATTTCTGAATTTTCTATTCATTCCCTTCAACTCTCTGGTTATTCTTATACCAGTACCATGCTATTTTAGTTACTACAGTTTTATAGTATAATTTTACCAGCAGTATGAAGCCTCTGCAATTGTTCTTTTTTGCTTGTAATTGCTTTGGCTATTTGGGCTCTTTTTCGGTTCCACACAAATTTTAAGATTTTTTTTTAAAGTTTTTTGAGGAACAAAGTTGGTATTTGATTGGTATTACAGTGAATCTGTAGATTGCTTTGGGCAGTACGGTCATTTTAACAATATTGATTCCTCCAATCCATGAACATGGGATGTTCTTCCATTCGTTTGTGTTATCTACAATTTCTTTCTTCAGTGTTTTGTAGCTCTCCTTGTAGAGAACTTTCACCTCCTTCTTATTTCTTAGTATTTCTAGGTATTTTGTTGTTGTTGTTGTTCTCCGCCTAAATTCTTAATATTTTTCTTTATCTCCTTGAATGTAGCAACATAGTTATTCAATATATATGTCTGGGGATTCTGTAGGTCTGTTTATGTTTTCCTTTTGTTTTTGCTCATTTATGTTCATTTATTCTCACCTACATTTGTATCCAGTTTTTTTTATGCATGTTGGGTTTGCAAAATTAAGGTCTATTATAAAATTATTTTCCTCTAGAAAGGATGTATGTTTGTTTCTGTCATGTGCCTATAGCACTAGTAAATTGGGCATGCATTAGCAATTTCAGGATTGAGACAATTTGAAGCTGAGCTGCAGTTTCTGTGCAGACCTTCCCACATCCTGTTCACTAGCACATCAAAGGTAAAACCTTTTGAGAGTTCACCCCAAAGTCAGGGGTTTTTCAAGAGAGTCCTTCATGCCTACTTATGTAGTTAATCCTCACTTGTATACCATATTCCTACAATAAAATAAAATTTTAAAAAAATCAATAGAGTCCCTCTATTGTAGGCCTCTAACTGCCATCTCTCAACCCCAAGAAACTGACAAAAGTGCTGCTCAGCTTCACAGATTGGCAAGTACCCCAGGAAAAAGCTGCCTCAAATGCTGGTCCCACTTCCTTGGGTCACTGTGCCCCACAGGTTCTGGTCCACTGATTTTTCATTATCTTGTTAGTTCTCTAATACCCTTAAAGAGATGTATATTTTTTCCTCACATTTTATTCAGCTTTTCTAGGTGTCCTCAGTGAAAGGGTAGTTTCGATTGCCTGATTTGCCATTAACAGACATGCTCCATGTTCTTCTGCTAGCCTACATGGGGATAAGAGGGGAGAAGACGCTTAATATGCTTACAGTCCTTGGATTATTTAACTCTGTATTCCTGATTCAATGTATATAATAGCAGACATACCG